ACCCAGGCTGGAGTGCAGTGGCACGCTCATGGCCACCACAGCCTCGACCTGCTGGGTTTAGGCGATCCTTCCGCCTCAGCTTTCCAAGTAGCTGGAACCACAGACACACACCACCACGTCTGGCTAATTCTCTTAATCCCAAATCTAGAGCTGCCTTTGCAGCCTCTGCTACTCCACAAGAAAACAGGCTGGAGGTGAAGCTTAAAATTCTCCAAACAGAGAGCATCAGGATATAATTTTGACTTAAGAAACAGAGTTGAATTTGAAGAGAGAAATCTGTGTGCGAAAGGACTGGTTTATGACTAACCAAATACCTCAATAGGGCAAGGGCCATGCAAATTCAGATTTTTGTTTAAAAGATGCTATGGTTTGAATATTTGTCCCCTCCAAAGCTCATGTTGAAGTTTAATCCCCAGTGTGGTGGTAAGAGGTGGAGCCTTTGAGAGGGGACTGAAGTCATGAGTGCTCTGCCCTCATAAATGGATTAATTCATTCATGGATTAATGGGTTATCATGAGAGTGAGACTGGAGGCTTTATAAAAAAGAGGAAGAGAAACCTGAGCTAACATGCTCATCCTCCTTGCCATATGATATCCTGCACTGCCTCAGGACTCTACCCAGAGACTCCACCAGAAAGAAGCCTCCCACAGATATAGCTCTTCAACCTTGGACTTCTCATCTTCCATAACTGTAAGAAATAAATTTCTTCTCTTTATAAATTGCTGGGTTTCAAGTATTCTGTTATAAGCAACAGAAAATAAACTAAGACAGACTCAACATGAAAGTTTAAAAGATCATGGAGATGAACTGGATTGTGAGGAAAGTTCAAAACTATAGGGATGAGCCCTCAAAAGACAAGCGAGAGACAAAAGGGAATTTTGCACGGGATGCTTTTTCTGTGTACAGCAAGAGGCATGAGGCTGGAGATGTCCAGTGAGGTTGGGGAAGGGAGATAGGGCAATAGATAAACTTTAAAAGGTGGCCACTGCACGGTGTTCTTTATCTGACTGTAAGGCATAGTGACAGATGTGTAGGTTTTCTACAGATGCTTCCTAATCAGTCTAAATAACTGCAGAGCATAATTTGAATGATGCCCACCTTATGAGCAAGTGTGTCACAGGACCTCAGGCCCAAGTTGGCACTGGGATTTTTAACCCATGGGAATCAACAGTGCTACTAGTCTATCTCAGAGACCTATGAGAAAAGAAAAGAGAAAAACAACACATTAATGTTCCTCATGAACAAATTTTCATGGTAGTTTTGAAAAATGGAAAATGAGAGTGAATTGAGTTATCACAAGCTCACTAAAGTCAAGAAACTACACATACTAGCTAGAATCACACCTATATTAAAACAGCAAGTTGTTCTGAATAAAAATAATTTAGGCCGGGCTCGGTGGTTCAGCCTGTAATCCCGCGCCTTTGGGAGGCTGAAATGACTGGATTGCCTGAGCCCGCGGGTTTGAGACCCGCCTAGGCAGTGAGACTTCATCTCTACAATAAATCAAAAAATCAGCCGGGCATGGTAGCGCATGCCTGTAATTCCGGCTACTCAGAAGGCTGAGGTGGAAGGATCGCCGGAGCCCAGCAGGTCGAGGCTGCGGTGACCGGGAACAGCCACTGCACTCCAGTCTGGGTGACAGAGTGAGACTCCAACTCAAAAAAAGGAAGGAAATGCACTGACACAGCCTTGTTGGCCAGGGCCCCTTGAACTGGGCACCAGAGGAATGCAGCATTCCTCATGGAGGGATGGCCAAAATGTATTGTCCACTCACAGCATAGTACATGCTACAGAAGGGAGTTATCTGGGCTCAGTCTGGCACCAGGCCATGAGCAGTGTGGTGCAGGAAAACCTGAAGAACAGGGCCTGGTGGGTCTCAAGGGATGGTCACAAGTCATGGCAGGAGCATGGGGCCACAGTGGAGGTGCCCAGCGCCTGCCTCTGCTGTTTTGTCCGTGCCTTCCAACCTCTTGTTCAGGCTGATCTCCCCAAAGGGTACAAGGACCTTAACGTAACAAGAACCGACTGCTTCAGGGCAGCAAGACTGGGCCATTGAGGGTGCCTGGCCCAGACTCTGCTGCTAGGCACCAGCTAGCAAATGATCCCAGACCCTTATGTGCACCAGGGCTAGGCAAGCTGGGAGTACAGCAAGGGTGGCCAGCCTGGGCCTCTGCTGACATGTTCACACAGTTCCAAGCTCCCTTCTTGGCCAGGGCTCTTCCTGAAGGAAACAGGACTGCAATCAAACTTGATACCTAATTTGTGACCAAAGGCAGCTGGGCCTCTGCTCCTATGTCCACACGGCTCTAGTCCCTTTCCTAGCCAGGGTCTCTCCTGGAGCAAACAGGAGTGTGAAGGAACCAGGCGACCTACTGCGTGTAGGGGAGGCCCACAATACGCCCGGATCCAAGTCGAGTTGTGTGAAAGAACTGCGGTCCTAGGGGAGTTCGGGGGGCTACCCTGGCTGCACAGGGCAAAGAAACAGCAAGTCACAACAAAGACCGCTTCGTGGAAGGCAATTACAGTGTGCAGCCGTCATTGACGACGAACGGATTCTCATAGCAGGACCCAGGCTGAAAGGACCAGAGACGACAAGGAAGAGCCTCGATTACTTCCAAGACCCGGTTCGCGGGCGCAACCTGGCTCCCTGAGGACCTTGGCGCGGCCCGGGGCCCCGTGGCCCTTGTGGGTCTGCCTCGCTGCCTCCCTCGAGGCAGAGTCTGGCCTCGCAGCTGTCCCGGCCCGACGAGGAGGCCGAGGTACCGGGGAGCGTGGGCGAAAGGCCGGCGGGTCGCGGTCTGTAGCAGTGCCCTGGAAAGGTCGAATTCAGACGTTACCGCTTTGGGCTTACTATCATCCCATCACCGCCCCAGCGGCGCACCCAAAATTCATCCTCCGATCGGCGTAACCTCAACGCCCAGAGAGGCACTTCCGGCCCCTGAGTCCTCCGTAGACTACACTTCCCAGAGGCCTTGGCATCCGGTCGCCTCTGCCTACAGTTCCCATAATGCCCGAGAGGCACTTCCGGTCCCTGAACCGACACAGACTACACCTTCCATGAGCCTTGGGATCTTCTCGCCCATGCCTACAGCTCCCACAATGCACCGAGAGGCACTTCCGGCTCAAGCCCATGAAGACTACACTTCCCAGAGGCCTTGGTATTCGTTTGCCGCTGCCTACAGCTCCCACAATGCACCGAGAGGCACTTCCATGTCCTGAGCCCACGCAGACTACACCTCCCAGAGGCTCGGCGTCTGCGCACTCCCCCATGGATCGCCACAATGCTCCAGGTACCGTGTCCAACTTCTGGGACGCTCAGACTCCATTTTCCAGAGGCCTCTGCGCTCGCCTATAAAATGAGTCGGTGTGGGATCGGTGGCTCAGCCTATAATCTCAGCACTTTGGAAACCCGAGGGTTCGAGACCAGCCTCGGCAACTTGGCGAGACCTCATATCTGCAATAAATAAATAATTAGCCGGGCGTGGTAGCGCGCGCCTGTAGCTACGGCTACGGCTGCGATGGCCTGAGCGAGCCGCTGCACTCCAGCCCGGGTGACGGAGTGAGACTCCGACTCAAAAAAAAAAAAAAAAAAGCCGGGCTCGGTGGCTCAGCCGGTAATCCCGCGCCTTTGGGAGGCTGAGGTGAGCGGATTGCCTGAGCTCGGCCACCTGGGCAACTTGGCGAGACCTCATCTCTACAGTAAATCAAAAAATTAGCCGGGCGTGGTAGCGCGCGCCTGTAGTTCCAGCTACTCGGAAGGCTGAGGCGGAAGGATCGCCGGAGCCCAGCAGATCGATGCTGCGGTGACCGGGAGCGGCCACTGCACTACAGTCTGGGCGACAGAGTGAGACTCCAACTCAAAAAAAAAAAAAAAAAAAAAATGCACTTGGGCCTTTGCACGCGCTGTTCAGTCTGCCTTGGACACTCCTCTCCAGGTTACTTTCTGTTAATTTTAAAGATATGGGGTACAATTTAGGTTAGGTATACAAATGTTCATTATGCAGGTACCCTTGTTTCCAGGTTACTTTCTGCTGGCCCATCTGGCCTCAGTCTAGCGCCCTCCAGCTTTTATCAAGTCTCCCATCCATGGCACTTGTACCTGCATCCTCCACACCAGAGGTCACAGGGGGACTGTCCACGTCTGCTGGTCCACCGTGACCCAGGCCTGGCCCCTTCAGTGGACACAGACTGACAGATGGAGTTAGGATTCTCATCTCTCCATCCTGGGTTTGCGACGAAGCTGTACGGCTTCCCACAGCTTTGGCCTTGCCCAGAAACAGTTATCCCTAAAAAGGGCAGCTGAGGTCCCTGGCAGAGAGGAAGTGGGAACCCTAAAGTGAGGCATTTCAGGACACCGACCCTTGCACTCCTCCAACGTTTTTGTTCACGCAGACACACAGACTTCTGTGCACTCTCGAGTTTATTCTCGCACTGGTACAAGGTCTACTGCCATTCCCAGCCAGTGGAGGTTAGGGATATGTCCTGGCTGGGACTGATGACAACCTCGCGCAGGCCGGGTGAAGGCAACTCTGAGTGGGGACTGGGGGGACATTGGCTTTGGTCTGTGCCTCTGTGGGCTTGCAAAGTATCAGAGCCTCCAGGTTCCCTCGCACACAGCCCGGTGAATGTCTGTCGTCAGGGGCCGGAAGGCCTGGGCCCCATGATCCAGTACAAACAGGGGGTCAACGACGACGTCTACGTTGAAGCCCTCACGCACCAACCGGGTCTTCACTAGTTTGAACGTGCTTGTGATCTCCAGGACGTCCTGCAAGACAGCGATTGTGATCCCCTGACCGTGACCTGCCCTGGCAGCCATTTCCCCACCTACCTCCTCCTGTCGCCTAGGCTCACCTGGATACGGATGAAATGGGGCCTGGCGTAGTCAGGGAGCCAGGCGCGGACATGCCGGTATAGCTTCCGCCCGTCGAAAGTCTGGCCGGGGACCAGCTGCACAGCGGCCATACCCACCTTACCCTCACACCCTAGGAAACGCACTGGTCACGCTCCGCTCACCAGTCTTGAGGGGCCCATGGGTGACCTCCAGCCTCGCCCAGCTTTGCTCCCTGGCTGTACGACCTTGCGCTCAAGCCTGCAAGATCGGAATAACCATCCTCCCCACTGGAGGCTTAAAACGAGGCGAACCCCTCCGCACCTGGCACAGAAACGCCATACACGTTAGCCTCCTGCAGGAAGTCCACCTGCGACAACACGCCCTCCACCTCCCGCGTGGACACGTTCTCGCCCTTCCACCTGCGGGGTTGGAGGCAGCGCTCGTGGCCGAGGCCTTGGCGAAGGGGAGGGCCGACCACTACCCCTCCTAACCCCGGCTTTTTCGGGGATCCGGAAGCTGGGC